CTCGAGTTATTATGATTCTCCATCAAAACGTTATACCAACTTTTTGGACTGCTACGTGTACCTACTCCACACGAAACTCTTTTTATTTGTTGGACCAAATTATTATTAATTAATGATAGGCATCTCTAAGCATTAATTTGATCGGCTTAAGTACTTCACAAAGGTACTTTGTGGCTTTTATAAAACCACAGATATTTAATATTCCAACGAATGCGATATATGTATACACTAGATATGTTTATAGAGACAAGTTTGTCTCTCAAGTTTTAGGCGTAAATATTGTTTATAATAGTGTAAGAAAATGTGTTAAGCGTAGCATAGAGAATAATTGTAGCTATCTAATCAATTTCTTATATTTCTGAAACATCGCGAGCCAACGTTCGAAAAAAAACGAATAAAACCTTGAAGTTTAATAGCGTTTCAATTTAATTCTATGGATTTCCTAATATCCAAAACCAAAATATGTCAAGTAAACCCCACGCTTATCTATCCTGTTAGATAAAAAATAAATAGAAATACCCGAACTCTATCTGCAAAACGATTTTTCGCAAGAACTTAATTCAATTGTCGAGTACAATCTCTAATATGGAAAACAATAACACATACGTGACTCGTAACTTAACCATTGTTAATATATTAATACGATTTCCTTTTCCAAACCCAAATTTGAAACGTCACCCATATTGTTAAGTTGTTATATAAAAGTTTTAAGAATGCAGCCAAAAATTACAGAGAGATAGCACGAACATCTAATTTAATGATTCGCTTGAAACATTATTTATCTGAAAATATAAATAAATAAATTAAAATTCGAATTTAATTGATAAAATTAGTTGAATAGGTAACTCAATTGGCCAATTGGGAGTAATGCACAGGGTCACGGGTTCGAGTAGCGGGTGAAAGACTTTTTAAATATAAAATTGAAGTGTCATGTTGTCAATGTCATATTATATTATTGTGTGTGACATTTGAGACATTCAATTCAACCTCCGGAACTACTGGTTCAAATCAAAAAATATTGTTCAGTTAGTTTTATAATTTATGGGGCGGCGTTACGCTATAAAACCTCAGGCTGCGACTATTATCAGGAACTGAGGAAAATTGGAAAAAAGCGGGGAAAATTTATTAATCTTTGAGTGCTTCGGTTGCGTACACTGCAAAAACGATCCAAGAAACGAAACATGTATGTACGATAGAATAATTTCTCTTTAAACGATCTAAAAATATGCACGGAAGTATTTGTCAATTTTTAAACATTAATACGCAAGAATGACGGGACACGGACGACTTCGTTGTTTGCAAAAATAATTCATATCATGGCCGAAATTCCACATGAACAAAGTCGCAGGCACAGCTATATATATTAAGGGAAAATATGTTCAACTTGAGCAAGTTTGCTTATAAAAACTAGCTTATGATATTTACTTTGCGACGGTCCCGTTTTTGTCATTCCTCACTTTAGTTCGTTCGTTATGTGTTTATAAAGTAAAATGCAGTATCTTCTTAGCGAACTGGAATTCAAGTAGGACTATGCCCTACAATATTCCATGTAAGACGGAAGCAAGAAGGACAGGACAATAAAACGGCAAACAAAAGCTTACAGACAAACACAGCCTGCATAGCAATCAGGCCAGCCGGCCATTCTCTTACCAACGCACAGACCCATATAAAGAAAACCTTCCGACAGTTACAAAATCTTTATGAACTACATTACCATTTTTCATGAGATCTAAATTTTGAACCTATACTAATATATAAATGTATAGGTTCTGGAACAAATCACTCGCCAATTGACGATGTGAACTTTTGTGGAAGATATAAACTCAATTTTAGATTAAGACTCTGGTCTCTAATAAACAGTGTGGGCAAAACGTATTACTAACAGGCCAACTTATATCTATTATTCGTCTCATTGATAACAGTGCCTAAATCGCTAGCTACGAAAGCAACCAAATTGTTGTAGTTTTATCCCGTACTATGGTAGGTAAACCTAAGCGCAAATAAAACTACTATAGTTAGATACTGTCTATAGTTTACGCGAGTAGTACACATTTAAATAAAACACTTTAACGGTTTAAAACGCGATATATTAGGTCTCCCCGTGACCACGGCTACTGCAAAGCATCCGAAACGTCGGGCCGAAGTTAAAAATCATTTTCAAATATGATTAACTAATATATCGCGTTTTAAACAGTTAAGGTGTTTTATTTAAATACTATAGTTAGAACTGAAAACCTTTTTATCTTTTTAAATTTGTTTTTCATTCGCTAAAGTTCTAAGAACTATATTCCTTTGTTAATTTGCCGACTCAATTACGCGTCAAATTATATAATTTGATGTCTACAGTACTTCTTACTTTGCAACCATAAACATCTTATAAAAACGGAATATACAAAGACACAACACAGATTAGGTACAACCGCAAAGTGGGTTAAATAATAGGTATTAACTAGTTCAAACAATAGGCCCGCATTATAGCCTATCAAGAGTGATCAGATATACGTACCATTTTTGCGGCGCTTGCGCATAGTGCAGCACTTCCAAAATTTCATTTTCACTCACCGTACGAGACGCGTGTCAACTCAAGTTGCCATCGCTTAACTGTCCGTTTGCGGACGAAACAATGACTTTTGTTTACACTTCGACTCGACCGTTTAACTTCACTCGAGCGACGAGACAATTTACACCCCCGACACCAGTGCATCGAGGATGGCGTGGGTGCTAAACCAGATTAGACCTTCGGCGCTGAACCCTCAATTTAGTCTCCTCGAAACAGCGCAGACTCACACCAATCATCATCAATATACGCCAATTTAAAGATGAATCGAGTGAAACAAATTGTAGTAGCGTAAAAAAGTTTATTCTCTATCACATTGTCTTCCTATGGTTAAAAAATTTGGAACTTTACGCCGAATATTCTAAGGTGTACTTCGGTATAGGTATGATTCGAAGCATGTCTCGTGGAGGAAACCACAGTTCAAACAAAAAAAAAACAGTTAATCATTCGTAATTATTGACTCTGCAAACTGCTTCGAATCTTACAAGTCTCCGCACTATAAAAATATACGAGTAAGCATATTTTCTAGGCACATTTCTGTACTGTCTACAAGTTATTACTGAACGATTACACTCTTATACTTAGTTTACTTATCTTAGATCGAAGTAAGAGATTACATTAAACTCAAAATATATTCCGGTAAATATTACTTAGATCTCTTCCTTTATTAAAACTCAGCGACTCGCTACATTTCTGACTGAAAGATAACATTCCTGGTTGAAATAATAAATATAATTCTATCTTTGTCAGGTGGAATAAAATTGAAATAAATGTCTGCTTTTGCAAAAGTTTAAAATGGAACTAAATGACATAAATGAATAGAATAATTATAAATACAATAGAATTATTGCAAAATAATAATGTGGATAGACATATGTTATTATACTTTGTGATTACGATATCTGTATTGCTAAATTTCATTGAGTTGTTAGAAATATATATGTAGCATTATTACAAGGGCACAAACAAAACGTTGTTTAATAGTTTTAATCAAAAATAATCCATTCACATTATTAAGGTATTGTAAACGTTTCGCTTAACACAAATATATGTTTTACATGATTAATCATTTTGGTATACAAAAAAACACGTCTTTACAGTCACCAACAAGGTACTTAATTTGATTTTGACTTTTTCAACGATTATAAACATAACCAACATCACTTCGCATAAACATTTCACGATAGGGTTATCGTACATTAAACTGTGTTAAAATAAATGTTTGAATAAAACTTATTCAAATGTGTCGTGAAAGCGCTTACATATAATCGTTCAATCCAATCGCAACCACAAACCTTCTCCAGTACAAAGAAACGTACAAAATGTTCGCGTTTGATATGTATAAATTAGTTGTTTTGACAAAAACATAAAACCCACAACACTCCTAGATGTCACTCTAAAACATTTTAATAAGACAAACTATGAATTATTCCGAGTACTATGAAGGCACTGCTTTCATGTGGAACCGATGTGACGATTGATCCTAATAATAATTAAAAAAATAATCTATCATAGATATTATCGATACACACAATTCTAAAAGGGGCCATGCATTTACGTCACACATTGGGGGGGTTGCTAAAGATGTAAGGACAGTAGAGGGGGATAAAAATCATATTATGTGACGTAACTCGTAGATGCCCTTTTTAGAAGTCCTAAAGCACAGTGAGCATACTCATGCTAACATTTAAGAACAGCAGAATATACATTACAAACTCTTGATAAAAATAATGTTGTGAATCGCATTTAAAATGATAATCGGAAGTAAAAATATTTTTATAATAATTTATGCAACAAATTCCATTAAAATATAATTTTAAAATTTATTCGTACTAGCAATATGACAAGGAAATTAATCCAGTCTTCCAAACTAGCATCGATGATTATAAAATAAACTAGTTACATATACATCTACAACTAAATTGATTGTGTAAATATTAATATTATTCTAAGATTATATTGTATAATCCGTTTGAACCAATACTGAAAAGGTGTCTATGTCTTTGCTAACTTATTGCCAAAGTTACGTAAGTACAGACCTATCAAGGTGTTTACAAATGCACTTGAAGGCCACTTTTTGGAAACTATTGAAATGGCAGCTTATTGTGATACTATTATTATCTATTGGAGACACAGAGGAATGATATCAGCCATTTTCCCTAATCCCCCTTTATGGAGGACATTAGGTTGTCCAACTCTCACTGTCCCCTCTAAACCTTCCATGTTTCTTTGCAGAATATTATTTATCATTAGTCTTATAATTGTATTTATTCTGACAGCCAATAATAGTGAATAGCCTGAGATTGTAAAAAATAAATTGTTTGTGATTTCGAGTAACTTCACATGAATAAACATCCCTATAGGTCCATTGGTGGGAACAAAGTTGTTATAAGTAGACTTTGTGCTTCCCATTAGTTGATTCCACAGACAATACATGGTCCTGTCAATGCCTGTACCAAGCACCTTGCACCCTCGTCTGAAAGTGGGAAACAGGAGTGACTATAGCGTACGCCTGTTGAGGCTGTTGCACTACAGCTAGAGGTATTGTGTGTACTTGTTGCGCCATCTCCACTGGTTGCCCGTTATCTTCGGACACACCGAGAGGCTGAACACAATGTTGCTGAGACACTTGCTGTACACCACCCACTTGTTGTGTTAGAACCTGCTGGTGCTGGCTAACTTGAGGCACTAACATCTGTTGTTGCATTTGCTGCTGCTGTTGCGGCTGTTGTTGATGTATAACAACGTGCGGTTGATTTTGCATCTGTTGATGTTGCACTTGTACTTGTTGAACTTGTTGCTGCTGCTGTTGAACCTGTTGTTGTTGCTGCTGTTGCTGAGCTTGTTGTTGTGCCTGCTGTTCTCTTTCGTGTTCTTCTTTCTTCTTCGCTTCAATAGCTGCCTTCTTTGCCTCTGCCTTTTCCTTCTCTTGCTGTATTCTGAGTGGGTCTTTATTTTTATCGTAACTCATGCATTTACCGCTACGGAATGGCACCATGTCTTTAGACATTTCTTGTTTCTTCGTAGCGAACTTCACATGTGGGAATTGGTCCTTCATAAATGCCCTAAAGGTTGAATAGCCCATTAGTTTCACTCCCGGCTCTAGAATTTCTCCATACTCCTTATAAGCTTCGAACAAGTGTTTCCTGGAATCACCTTGTATAATGACAGTCTTAGTTCCCTTCTTGCCACTTTCAGCGGATGGTTGAACATCTTTTGGTGAACTGGCGTGTTGTTTTAAATACTCCTTTAGGAAGTTAGTTGCATGTTTATAAATATCCAATGTGAAGGTGTTGTATGGCTTCTTACCTACATTACCGTGTATGCGCGGGGCGACCCCGTGCGTCATCACGTGTTGTCGAATGCGTTTTAGCTGGTAATGGGTAACATTTTCGAGGTACAAGAAAGCTTCTAAACAGACCTTCCTTCCTTGGTATACATAACATGCCCTTAATCTCCTTCTGACTTTGTGCCGGGAGGTTTCTGCTGGATTCGCAAGACTGGCCATGGTGATGCCCATTAAATACATATCATGTTCACTTTTAGTTAATTCAGCTATGTTAAGACGGTGGCGGTATACGGCTTCTGGGTTCAGTCCACGATAGCAGTTGTCTTTGCAATCACAGCCTCTCTTCAATCTTTCTTTTACCTGAAGATATATTATGTAAATATTAGAAAAATCAAGTAACTTTATTGCAATAGAGATACTAATAATAAAACAATATTTTTTGCATTGGTTGTTGAAATGCTTTTGGCATTCCAAAAGCAGCCCAAAAAAACATGAAAAACAATTTATTATCATAAAGAGCCCCCTATACAAGTATATTAGTGCTAGGTATGAGAATTTCTTGCTCCATCATATGGATAGATATTTGTGTAACACCCAACATATAAAAGTGTAGCAAAATATACCTGTTCAGGATTATCTTCCAATGCGTTTCCAAGCACTTCGTCATCGCTTTCAGACTCTGCTACCTTCTTCTTTCGCTTAATTACTGCCTTTTTTTCCATTTTAGGTTTAGTCTCTACATCCATCTCTTGATTTTCCACATTGGTCTCAAATTCTAGGCTATATTGGGTGGGCATTCCTTGCATATTTCCATCCCCATTTTCCACTTGAATCGTATGGCCTTGCCATAAAACCTGAAAGATTTAACATAAGTGTTTAACTAAATGTAACAGCAAATTCACTGTCTTATTTATGTGTAAGGAATGTATAAAGTTCAGAGTAATTTCTACAGGCATACCTGCTCTTGATGTCCATTATAATTATGTTGTTGCATATTTTGCGCGCCTCCAAGCTCAAACACCGAATGTTGGCCCATAACAGGGGTATGCCATTGGGTGCTTTCTCCATATTCGCCTCCTCCATTCTGGTCAGACGGTATTGAAACGATAATCGCCTCTTTGCTATCCACACTGCGCCTCTCGACAGATAACAAGGAGTGCAACACTTCACTAGCCTCTTTTTCAGCCGGATTCACCACTTCCATCTTCTCAAAAGACATCGTTATGCCGACGCTACTCTATAACCAACATCCATGTCAAATCACATGTACGTACTTACATACGTGTATGTACATCGTACAATGGCCATCGAACGAGCTACAAGCCCGCCCCAGCCTCAACATATTCCGACAACCCCAAGATTATTTCAAGAAAACCGCGATAACTTTTCAAATTCATGTAAATAAACATAACAAAAACCGTGCAATTATTAACCTTAATCGCGTTTTTTAAGTTTCATTATCGCATAGCGGATCGAACTCCCGTGGAATATTGGGCCATATAGTCATAGCAAAGGAAGAACAAAACTTACCTTTTTCACACCAAATCGAGGTGCGAGGAGTGCAAAAACCAATCCCACTTATCAGCGAACCTATATGGATTATTTGGAATCACTTCATTTTGATATTACAGTCATAATTGAAGAGAAATGCACGAATATTTCACTGAATTCACGGAAGCAATATGGCGATTCACTTTCCGTGAATATAATCGGAGGACGCCGTAGAACACGTCGATAGTACAGTGCGCGGTCGCCGGGCGGCGCTACTGGCGCCTGTTTCCGTATCGACATTCGACGCCGCGCAGCGGCTGTGTCAATAGTTTGAGTGCGGGAAATTTAATTTTACCTCTACCAATTTGTATTGTTGTTAATGTTTTGGGTTTCCTACTTGGAAATTCTAATCTCAGATTAATTATCACATTGATAAACCATAATATATCAATTGAAACATTCTTATACTCATATTTAAAAAAACCACTGACCGTTACGCACTGGACAAAAATAACGCATGATATTCTTATATAATATGTATATAAGAATATCATGCGTTATTTTTGTCTTATGTTTCTGCCTTATATAATTTTAGATAACCATAAACGACATTGAAACGTAGTTACGCATTTAAGTGGATGTTAGGTATATAATATTCATATTAATAATAACATAGAGACAGTCATAGCCCCTAAGAGGGGTCCGCATTAGCGCGGAACCGAACTATATAAGTACAATACGGTATGTAGCAACCTGCTATCATCATCTCGATTTGTACATATTTTGAGTCAGATGTAATTTTCTTAAATATAAAAGAAAACCTAAACACCTGGGAAGTACTCATTTTTTGGTTAACATTACTACTTTTATTTATAATACATTCTTCTTATTAGATCCTTTGTGAAACTTAACAATAATGTGTACAAGAAACTCGAATAATTTCTTTATTACAAATTCTATAGGCTAAAGGTTCATCGAACAGTAAATACCGAAATATTAGATGATATAGGTACGTCAATATGTACTAGACCTTTGTTGATTATCGTCGATAATTCGTTTCCGACTAAGAATATAAGGAAATAGCGTTTTACCTATAGAGTAAAAAATTAGAGACTCCCATAGCAAAGCAAAGCACTGTTAGATTTGACGGGTCCTGGATATAAATTATTACTTTTTAAAATGTGACAGCAAGTGTCAAATGAGGTAATTTTTCCGCTACGTGCAAACGAATGCCGCCGTGAAAAGTTCATTTTAATTTTTATCCGAATTTTAAGTAGGTAGGTGCTCAAACTTATCTAATCGCCTTTCTTGGGCTTAACAGAAAGCTCTTATGCTATAGACGCAAATAACAAGAAATAAAATAGAAGTTTTAACATTTTTCTAATAAGTATTTTTATTGTTTTACGTCATACGATATATTTGTATGATGTGGGTTTGTACATGATTAAAGAATAATTGTTATAATAGTCGTTATAACTTTATTATGTATTTAACGCCCTGTTTTCAGCTGAGTTACCTACCTACAAAGCCAAAAAGCTTGCACGGTCCACAGTTTTTGTTATTATACTTAAGGATTCTAGAAATGATTATTTCTATCGAGGTTAAAAGCCACAGAAACGAAAGAAATAAATACGAACAGGGCACTCGTGATTGTTATCGACAAAAACTATATTTTTAATTGCCTATTAAAACTTTATATTGATAAAAAAAAATCGAACCTATGAGAGTTCACCAAGGCCTAAATTATAATACTCCAAGAATGCAACAAATAATTGCTTTTAAAGTTAATTAAAGATGCTAATTGTACCGAGTAATGACCTCTTAATATACAGTCGTAGGTAACGATTAAAATAAACAATTAGATTGTGATAAGAAATTGTATTTGGTGTCATTTAATAGTGGCTTATAATAATTAAAGAAACAGTTGATGCATTGAATTTAAGTACGTCTATGATTTTAAAAAGTAGTATTATTATTATCATCAAACGTTAATAAAAATAAACTGGAAAAGCCAACGTAGCTATATAATATTTGATAACTTTAAACAATATTTTAAGTCAAGGATATGAAACTATTATGACGGACACAAATAGTTATTGTTTCTAAGCAGTGAATTGATCCGTGTTTACTTTTTATCCAATCTAGATGCGTAAGATTGGTATCCAGAATAAGTACATAATACGATTACGTACCTACGTGTTCAAATTAATTTATTACATTACCTGTCAGCGACTTACAATTCAGTTAAATATTTATTGTAGCCTGTGGTATATGTATTCAAAAAATAAAACACTAACCTGCAAGATAATCTAAGGTGAAGCAGCTGCTGCGTGATTTGACGATGCCTGTTGGTGATGGACCGTCAGGCCAGTCCATCCGCTCCTCCACAGCCTTCGAGGCACTTCTCTTAAATTGTTCCAAGAAACTGTCTATTTGCGTCTCGATACTGGTCGGGGAGTTAGCCATCGTTACCACCGAAACACCGCAAACAAACACTACACTGTCTTCATATTAACGCATTACTCTATAAGTGCGCTGCAATATTTTTTTATCGGCATGAAAGTTATAACAATATTGATCCCTCCAACATTTTTCTATATGCAGTGGTCTCTTCATGCTAACTATATTTTTAATTTATTTTTTCAGACTCAACGCGATCATCGCCTGAACGGGCAACGTATTTTACTACGGGTACCGTTAGCTATATATGGTATACTAAGATACTAAGCAAGTATTAAAAATAAAGCGACACCCACCGACATCTATCGATCGCTATGAACAGCTGTTCTACGAGTTGCCATCTTGAAATTTTACGTTGCTGCCAGTTGCGAGAAACGATATTAATTACAAAACAAACTTGTATTCATTGACAAGTATTTTCATAGTGTTAAAATGACGTTTGTTTAGTTAAACAGGAATTAAGTTAATGTTTAAGCTTTAAGAATTATTTGAATTAGAGGTATTTGAGTAACGAAACGTCATTCTGTAAAGTAAATTGTCAAATGAAACTCAGCCGCGCGTGGCGTGTACTGTGGTTCTGCTGTGGTTGGTCACCGGTCGGTCGAGCACGTCGGTCGTTCGCATTTGATCGACTAGCGCGGTAGTTGTGATACAATAGAGGTGACTGTAACTGTCACATAAAAATTACTGCCGGCTTCAAAATGACAAGTATGTATTCAAATTTATTCGATATTCAAACATTTTATAAACCTACCCTTGACCTCAAATTTTTAGGTAGTTATAAAACAAATTTTGCATAATATAGCGAGAAGTAAAAAAAATAATTGTAAATATTTTCAAGTCACTGTAATTTTTCTTATAGGGTAGTTGAAAAAATTGCTCAATAATTATAAAATCTTGTTAGAAAAAAATCTATATAGTTAATAAAACGTTCATTCATTATATATAGGTAATAATATCTAAAACCGTGTTAAGTGTTATAACTAACAAATTTTCAAAACAGAAAATTAAATAATATTTTGTACTACACCAAATGTAGGGTCACAAGTGATACATTTCAGTGGAGTCTTATGTTATAACTTTCGGGCCTACGTTAAAGGTCAAATTAAGAACGTTTTATCATCTATCAGTCTCTCAGTAAAAACTCTTTTTTTCCAATACATACACAAACATTTTACTTATTTCATATCATATTACATATAATAAAACCGTAGTTTTAATTTTAGCCTTAATTCTCTTGACATAATATCAACATTTTAATAATTTCGATTTTATCTACAATTTAAATATGCCAATAGGTATAAACCGGTATCAATTTAACCTTGTTTTTATTTAGTATTTGCAATGATCTTTATTAGTCTCTTCACTCAACACGACGTATTGTAATTCGATGGCACTGCGCAAACGTCAGATCAGCTGATAAATTAATTGTCGTTTGTCATTTAATTGGTGGCATACAAGTTTGAAGATATGTATATAAAACTAAATCTACATTATTGAAAAAAAAAACGCGATTTTGGCAATGTCATTTTTAACTTACCTTTTTCTGTTAACTAATCTTGATTATACTCTATCATTAACTATTGATTTCTACATATGTGTTTTTTTAATTCTGTCGTATTTAAATGCTGTACAATGTTTGTGTATAGTTTGTAATCTCGTTTGTTTATATTTTTTATTTTAATAATGTAGTAAAATTAGTAAAAGTTGAGGTTGAGGTTACACAAATTTTTTGAGAATATTATCATGGTTTTTTTTTCCAAATTGTTTGAGATTATGATTTAATTACTATTTTATTTACTTACGGAACAGGTAAAGAACATTATTTAGCGATCCTAAAAACTACTGAAAATGCAACAATTTTTGTTGAAACCGTTTTAAGATAACTTTATGATTTAATCTGAAAAATAACATATTTATAATAATTTTGAAATTATTACTTTATTAGTTATTGTGCTTGAGAAAATATTTATTATTGTTTAGGATCCTCCTTGAAGTTATTTATAAAAATTAAGACGTCAACTATTGATAATTACATTACTAATACGTATAAGGATCGCGTTCCTGTTTTGTCTTGCGGTCATCTAGTGTTATTTAATACAACCCACAAGTATTGAATTAGTCTGGTCTAAGACCATGGTAATTATTGATAAGTATCTTATGTTAATTTTTAGTCAAGTGACATAATTGGTAATACATCACTGTCTCCCATGTGCACAAATAAAATATTTTGACGGGCCCGTTGGTGTAAGCAATGTAATAATCAACGGGTTCGATCCCCACCGGGTCCAAGACTTTTCTAATCAATTAATTTTTTTGCAACATGTTGGACGGCGTTTGGAAATCACAATATGAAATGAGTGATAGGAATATAGAAATACCGTCCGGGTGACGAACCACCTTCCACAAATGAAGTATCCGTCAAGTTTAATCGCGTTTTGGTTGGTTAATATCCAAAGCGAAAATAGATCGACAGCACATCTTGCTTATGAGTTATATGGCCCCATGCTTGTCTGTCATCATAAAAAAAAACTCCTTTTTCCGTTATCGATTTATAACGATAGATCTCCAAAGCTGTACAAACTATTGATTTATACTATTCAGCTATAATACGAACGTGTAACAGATTACGACAATTAATTATGAATTGCGTTTACTTCCACTTTGTTGATATGTTCTACCTAATCTCTTTGCTTGAATGATTTTAGTGCGTTTTTTCTTCAAGCCAGTGGATAGCATTTGTATTGTGTACTTTATATGTGTGCGATGTACATGTTTTACTTTAAGTGGAAAAATATCATTTTAAAATTTTGTGCGCAAGCGACACAGGCAAAAGAGATGAACGACGAACGACGAACGACACGATGCGTTTGATAAGAGACATTTAAAGAATGCTATTATTAATTAGTTGGTTTGGCAAACGGTTTTTTGTTGTTTGCAAGATTAATATGATAACTAACAACTGGTAATAATGCAATCATATCGACTAAATTTGATTACCATGGAAACGGTTCTCATGAGTTAATCGTAAAAAATAGGCACATACATTTGTTAAGATGTGGTATAGCCTAACGCTCGATAAATGATCTATCCTATTTAAATAAAACACTTTAACGGTTTAAAACGCGATATATTAGTTAAACTTATTTGACAATGATTTTTAACTTCGGCCCGACGGTCTCCCACGGCTGCTGCAAAGCATCCGAAACTTCGGGCCGAAGTTAAAAATCATTGTCAAATAAGTTTAACGAATATATCGCGTTTTAAACCGTTAAAGTGTTTTTATTTAAATGTGTACTACTCGCATAAACTGTAGACAGTCTTTGATCCATCCTATACAATAAAAAATGTTTTATGGTAAATAACAGACGTTGACGTCTAACGTTTAAATAAAATACTTTTAACGGTTTAATTTAAAAACACAAAGCATCCGAAACATCGTAGTTAAAGTTTAGCGATAAGCATATTTCGCTTTTTAAACAGTTAAAAGTGTATTTTATTAAATAGGATTCGTAGGACACACAATGTTTTTTTAGAAATAGAATAGATATCATAACTTCCATACAAACGGAATTTCGCTTTGCACCAACCGCTGAGCGAAGAAGCGGGCGAAAGTTAGTTGATTTATACAGTTCTGAGCGCGTGGTTAACTCTAACCAGACGGGTCGTACCTAAATAGAAACCACAGGGACATTGCTCCCGAGTCCCGAGTATTTGATCCTTCGCTTTTACTCTCAAGTGCCTTATTGGTTTTTGCCGGTGTCTAATTTAAACACCAGAATCTACGCCGCTGCGTAACACTTTTGCGCTGATATCATCTGTGATAGCATTTAGACAAATTAAAAATCGATTTTAGATTGAAAATATTATGTCATGGGTAGGACTCGAACCGGCAGTACGGTAAGCTGTGGATGCCGGTTCAAATTCCGAAAGTGTCGTAAATTGTTTAAATCTAATATAAACTTTTAATTTATATAATGTGCAATAACATGCGGAAAATATTAAAGTTTTCAAATTTTATAGACAAACTGAATGTAATCAATTTTCGTGTATTTTTCAATCACCAGAGCCAATGTAAACATTTTGTTTAGATTGATATTGTACCAACTACCCGATATTGGAAAGTATCATTACATTGCATGTTTTATTATTTCTTATTGTTTATATTTTCATAATACGTGCAGATACAATAGTTTTGTGAAGTATCTTAATTAAGATAAGTGAATTGTGTCATCGCGGTCACTAAATAAATTAAGAATTGAATAAGTTATTTGTAACGACAATTGAAATCATTTTATTAAACGGTTTTATTTAACTTGAAATTTAAGCAACTTCCCGTTGTCAGATTGATCTGAAATTAGGTACACACATTTAATTTAGATGACAATACAATATAACAAAATTAATAACATTATAAATTTAAGATGGCCGCCGATACAAAATGGCGGATTACATATTTTTCCTTAACCCCCTCAATATGGGTATCAAATGAAAGCGTTACTCGATTAACACACGACGATTATGTCAAAATTTAAGTTTTTTATAGTTTTCAGTACACAAAAAATAAAACCGTTTAACTTGAAAGTTTTTTTTACAATTTTTATAAATAAATATTATTTTTTACATATATTTTTAAGTTCGCAATAACTAAAACTGACTTTGTCTTACGAGATTGTTATTTAATATTATAATAATAGTAGAAGTTATTTGAGGCAGCTAGTGGCAGAGTGGCCTTATAAAAAATAAATAAAAATGCGCTATTAACTTGGGCGAAAATAAATTGAACTATTATATGTGTAAAAAATATGTGAACAATTTTCGGTCACTGTGCTCTATTAGATTAACATTTTTAGACTATTAAAATATAGATGTAGATAGTAAAAAAACTGCAGTTAGGTTACTCTGCCTCTAGCGGCCTCATTTGTAATGTTTTTTTAAGCTATTGTCAACACAGTACGGGCTTCATAACTTGTATTAGGTATTACTAGTAGATAATGCCACATAAAATGTATTTTCGTCGCGCTATTTTGGAATAGAACGCAGATAGAATGTGCTCCTGTCTGCAATATACAAGGAGTCACATTATGTTAGGCCCACGCCCTCACAGACTCTGGACGTGAATAATTCAAACAGTAATTCATAGTCCTTTGTATTGTCTACTCATTTGAGATTATAATTCGATTAGTCTGTGCATTCTGCAAGTACAGCGTGTTCTAGAAAACGTAACTACCATTTTATGTCCCATAATTAGGTAGCAATTTTATTAAATTCATAAGATTATATCTTTATTATACAATACAAAGATTCAGTTCATGTAAAAGCAATAGATATTAGGTAGAATAAGTTTTATAAATAAATACACTTTTTATGTCAAAAGAACTTGGGTGAATAAGAATGTAAATAAATTACTTTACTTTACTTTACTTTTGTGAAATATATTAGTTGAACTTATTTGGAAATTATTTTAACGTTTCGGATGCTTTGCAGCAGCCGTGGTAACGGGGAGACTGTAGTTAAATTTCAAATAAGAACAATTAATATATTTCGTGCTTTAAACCCGCTAAAATATTTTATTTAAATGTGTACTACCGCGTAAACTACATACAGTATTAAAAGGGTATTTTTCTTAATAATTTCTGTTCGAACTAACCGCTAAATATATAACGTAGATAGCTCTACTGCGGTATAGTACTATAAATGATTATTGAAAATGTGATATATTCGTTGTCTAGATTCTTTCTGATCTAAATCGTTTTTTTGCTTTGTTATGAAATACCAGATAGTGCACTAGGGAAATGCTGCGCAGACGCATGGTACGCGCCAAGTTTGACACGTGCCAGTATAATTTAGTGAATAGTAGGTTCTACGACGTCACAAATGCCGGTGGGAGGGAATTGCGCACTTCCTTACATCTATTATAGACGCACAAGAGTCTGATACGACACATTTAAATCCAGATTTATTTTCCTCCAGCATCTCCAGAAGTGCTGAATTTATTTTCGATATTTACGTTGTTGGCAATTAGAATGCGGTTTACATGTGTTTATTGAACATTATTATTTATGACCAAATTTATCACAACTGACATTAATAAAAGAAATAATTCTTTCTTCAAGTGATGATTAAATATGTATTTTGAATTTAAAAAATAAGAGATGGACTCAAACCTACGACAATATCTTACTGCGTTACTGTTGTAATTATCATCAAGACACACAACATCTATTGTTAGAGTCAAATTTGCTATCAACAGATGCAGTAGCTTTGTAAGCAACAGAATAAAATAGTGTAGTCGTTCAAATCCTGCCCATGCATTTCTTTTTCAGGCTAAAATACAATTTAATTTTATATAAGCCATCGCGTTCATTAACATGTGAAAATTAAAAAAGACATCTATTTGGATTGAAAAAAATTACAACACGTGCAGAACATGAACCGGCTGAATGTCTGAATATCTTATCTCTAATCTTTAATATTATACCAAAATCTCAGGCTTATTAACTAACTTCAGAGGAGTGTTCTAGCATACACACACACACACAAAAGCACATGACATATATTTTATCATCTCCCATCATAGATGCTAAATAATTACACAATTTCAGATCGAGCATGGGTCACCTTAGCTACAAACGACTCTTACGGTCTCGGGGCCTTGGTCCTTGCACACTCCTTACGCCGACTTGGATCAGCTTACCCAGCGGTTGTCCTCATCACACCTTCAGTAACTGATGCTATGAGGTACGTTAAATTACTAAAATATATGTAATTTAAAAATCGAAAATAAATTGAAAAAAAAATTCTACTCGGGCAGGACTTGTACCGGCATCGTCAGCGTTCCGTGCTGTTGCTCCACCAATTGAGCTACCGAGTCAGCTCAATGACTATTTTCGATTGTTAAATTAAATAGTGCCTTCATGTGCAACATGTGAAAAATATTAAAGTTTTCAAAAATATATGTATTTGACGATTTTTATGGGCGAAATTAACGGATTATGTCTATATGTTATATATGTAATTTTTTTTATAATAAAGGAGGACAGAGAAGTAAACATGTGACGTGATGAAAGGTGAAATATCCTAGCGTTATAGCATCTAAATTAGCTAAGCTGTCGACCTATTTTTGGTTTTGGATATACGGAAATCCACAGACTGAAATCAATACGCGATTAAACTCTTCAGCTTTTTAAACAGTTCGTGACGGAATTTCGATTATCCTTCCACCCATCGAATATTCAGATTTCTAGACGAAGCTCAACATGTTTCAGGAAAATTATAAATCTATTAGACACATGTTAGACCTGGTTGTCATTGAACCCACGACCCGTTGATTATAAGACACTAGCTGTGCCCGCGACTTCGTTCGCGTGGAATAGTGACTTGGGGTAGAATTTGTAATTATTTAAGCTGTTTATTAATTTATGTAATTGCGCATTTTGTTGCAGCCAATCTATGTTGTAAGTGCTACTTTGACAAAACACTCTCACCTCATGTCACTCCTACTCTAACTCCCACCCCCATCGCAGATCATATCCCACGTCAGTGATTAGTGGCCTCTCCGTTACCTAAATATTTCGAACGTTAAGCTAAATCACTACTACTAGATCTTTATAAGAGAGATTTTGCCAGAGAAACGAACCCATGTACCCTCCAAATAATTTATTACTACATGATTGAAAGCTTCTAGTCTAATATGTTAGATATTGATTACTATTATAACATTCGCATCAATAGAATTTCAAGAGTAGATGACGTCTACAATATTACATCATGGTGGAAATCTGCTTCCGTTTCTAAATTAAATGTTTTCGTATCGCATGTTTTCCTAAAACTTTTATTACTACAATAATAAAGAGTTCTAAATACTGTCTATAGCTAACGCGGGTAGTACACGTTTAAATAAAACACTTTAACGGCTTAATAAACGCGATATATTAGTTAAACTTATTTGAAAATGATTTTTAATTTGGGCCCCCGGGGGGGGGTTTTGGGCGATAAAGAGTTTTGTCAAAAGTCGTATAGGTTTTCCTATTTTGGCATCAGACTTCATCTGTTGAAAAGTGACAATATACAAGGCTTACCATAGTATAGGCCAATTGTGGTGGGGTTATGTAACAAATCTCTGAACCACCTTCTTCTTCGTCTTACAGGGAGCGTCTTCAAGCAGTATTCGCCGAAGTAATAACTGTGGACGTGCTGGATTCCCAAGATGCTGCTCATTTAGCGTTGCTGCAGCGACCAGAACTGGGCATCACCTTTACCAAGATACACTGTTGGAATCTTACACAGTATGAGAAATGCGTCTTCTTGGATGCTGATATTTTGGTGAGACTTGATGCTTTAAGAAAGTAATTACAATTATGTATGTGTTTAACTCCGTCTTCTTATACTATAATTAAAAGATTTATTACCAAGTTTTATTTACAAATGTTTAAAACTTAATTTAAAAGATTACAATTACAAAATGTTTATAATTTATTTTGACTATTTACTACTTTGTAGTAAATAGAAAATATAAAGTAAATCACAGGCGAGATCGTAGACAGTTATGATGATAAAACACTTCTTAACACAAATATGTATATAAAATGAAATAACGAAATATAACAAAATTTTTAAAAGTTTAACATTATCACATGTTCGCAAAAAACTTGAATATATTTCACAATATGCAAAATAAATCTATTTAAATTGACGACACGGGCGGGAATCGAACCAACATCCAGAGCGTTCCTTGCTGTTGTTCTATGACACGGCAGCTGAATTGGTTAGAGCAGCAGCTTAAACCGTTGTGGCTGCCGGTTCAAGCTGTCCGAGTCCTCAAATTCTTTCAATCTAAATAGATTTTTAATTTGCATTACAAAATTACTTAGTGACTAAAATATTAGTGTATAAGCGCATTTAGTATAAAAAATATATATTTCATACTAAACTACACTACTCAGTGGTGCTTTTGAACCCAGAACCATATCAGCAGTCCGCCTACCACTGTACCACAATTCTATTTCAGCTCTTATGTGTCACGTAAAAATTATAACGTCTCTAGGTCTTAAATATTTAAAAATAAGCTTTAATCGAGAAAACATTTCTGTTTTTATAATTAAGATATCATTGCGTTATATAAAAACAATTTACACACATCTTATCGTAATATTGGATATTAACATGCGAGAACATAATATATTATAGATATTTAACTTAACGATCTCTAATCATATCTGACGTTATCAAGTTCGCGTTCTTGAAACCAAGCATCAAAGATACTAGGCGACTTTTCGCGTTCGTCTGGTCATAAAGCTATTTCGAATCGACATAATTGTTTACACGATAAGAAAGTCAATGTTAACGGACGTAGACGGCAGAAGTAACACGATGCGTCGGATAGCCCCGTTCCAAATATTTTTCTAATTATTGGACGTCGTCCAAAACGCGCGTTTTCCTGTGTTTTTCTAAGTCGCCATTAAAATGTCCTACAGCTCGTCAACGGCTTACACTTTACATCATGAGGTTATCCGACGGGGAAAGGGGAAAGGGGGGGGAAACCGGCCACTGGGGGATAATATTTTTCATTTGAAATTTGAAAAGTGAAATTTATCTAGCCAAGTTTTACAGTCTGGCTGCTTAAATGGTTTTTGGACACTTTAAAATGCTTGTACATTAATGTGATAAATTTGTCTTAGCCAAAACCAGGAGTGAAATACGCCCTTTTAACGCTAAATATATGGATACAAATATATCACTCAATGAGTGTATGATATATGAAAACATTCTATATATAATGAAGATAGCGTGTGATATTAATTGAGTAAGGTACATAGTGAGTTTTTATCGCTGGGTTATTATGTCAAATGGAGTTTCGATAAAAATATAGTGGACATCCATATTTTGAGAAGGTATCACGTGCACAGAAGGTTTAAATATCCAGGAGTGCAACATCATCCGTCGGGCCGAAGTTAAAAATCATTTTCAAATAAGTTTAACTAATATATCGCGTTTTAAACCGTTAAAGTGTTTTTTTAAATCATCCAGTTTCTTTTTAATGACTCAGAAATATATTGGACTCGGTGGTATTCGAACCTACGACTCGTAAATTAGTAGTTGAGCTACCCTTGGCTTATTGAGTCACTAAATTGGTCGTCGGACCGACGGCTTTACGTGGTAAACTGCGTAACTGAACGAAATGTATATTAGTACGATGTAGTTACTAAAATATTGTTTTCCTATCATGACTGTTGAGAGATAAGTGATAAGGCGGTTGTAAATAAATGTAGATTGACTACACTATTTTAACTATTAATAGTTACGTCACAATACTATTTATTTCATAATTAAAAATATGACTGTATTTTTAAATACTTATCCCCTTGAAAAGAACTATTATTTTTTTTGTAATTGGAAGCGTAAAAGTCATACTCACTTTCTTAAAGAAAGTTACAATTTCTTAATCTATAACTTATTAACTCGATTTATTCAAAAATAATGCTATACATTGCAATGCGTGGGAGGCTGTAGATTTGAATCTCGGACAAAAAATTATATATACTTTCTTGACACAATATCTCGGGACACAATACCTTTGTGAGTTTCCGTTGCGGGTCTTGCGAAAACGGTTCAAGATTTCCAAAAATATGTTTAAAGAGAATGATTCCTCTTTAAACGAGCTAAAATCTCATCAACTGTATATATCTATCCTTAACATTAACGTGCAAGCGATAATTACTTAGAAAAATGTCGGCCTATGCCCCTCGTCGGCGTCAGGATTTCATGACGTCGTTAGGTTTAACATCTTCCTAAATTTGTTACAGGTTGTCCAAAACTGTGATGAATTGTTTGAAAGGGAGGAGCTATCAGCGGCTCCAGATGTAGGTTGGCCAGACTGCTTTAACTCTGGCGTCTTTGTCTTCAAACCTTCGGCAGATACCTTCAGTAGACTCATCAGATTCGCGCAAGAACGCGGAAGTTTTGATGGTACATGCACAAAAATAAATAATTCTATGTTGACTTCGTGCAACTCGTACGCAATTCATATTTATAGTCTGTGGCTAATTTGATTTTTTATTTCCAGGCGGCGATCAAGGTCTTTTGAATTCTTTCTTCTCCGACTGGTCCACAGATAGCAATAAGCGACTACCATTTCTTTACAATGTTACATCTGCAGCCTTTTACTCGTACCTGCCCGCGTTGAAACAGTGAGTTAATTTTTTTTATCTCCGTTCATAATTTATTACGGATGGACGAAATGTGGTTTTCATTTGATTAAACCGAACTTTAGTACAAGTCACATTCTTATCTCACGCTTCGAAATGAATGTATCCAAGCTAAGCTACATCAAGTTACATACTGTCTATGGTCGTTAATGTTTTCCTAATTAAAAAACAAGCGTAATAGAATAATAATAGGGCCATTATTAGTTAAAGTAATTTCTCTAAACTGAATGAAATTCTAAAACTTAAAAGTAATTAAGCGTAAAGCATATTTAAATCCAGTTTTTACAATTAAAATACGAACCGAATATTCGGTTTCGTATAAACTATAGGCGACCTATCTCTACTGTTTATCATACGTAAAATTTTACACACTACAGCGTACAACTCATTCATTAAAAGTACTATAAACTAGAAAGTCACCTCTCCCTTTACCACGCTGGTTGAACCTTTTCACAGATACAAGAACCTGATTTTCATCTGAGATCATAATCGTGTGTACGCGCTTTTTACTACTATTTATTTTTAGAAGTTTTTATTTTATTTCATAAAGAACACAAGTCGGATTAAAAATTTGTCTAAAAATAAAATCGTTCAGTGACACTACAGACACAGAAATGTGTTTAACCCATACCCTTTTCCTGTGCAATTAGAAACTTACTTTTTGTAGTATTAAATAAATTAAAAGGCAAAATATAAAAGATAATTAATTTCGTGGCTGCTCTAAATTTTGTTGCATTCAAAAGCTCGTAGTTAAAGATTAATTACCAGGTTTCACCAGATTTAAACCGTCAAAAACGTTTTAATTTAATATATACTACTCGTTTTAATTGCAGACACAATACCTATATCTTATTTAAGTTTTATAAAAATAACGTTGTTTTTTACTACGTGAAATCTTTGTCTACTTTTCAGTTTCGGGCAGAACCTGAAAATCATTCACTTCATCGGTCCAGCGAAACCGTGGCTTCAGCATTATAATTTTGAATCTCAAAACGTGGACGCCCCAGAACATTTGAAAGGGTTCCTGCAGTTATGGTGGGATCTCTTCAGGACCTGTGTTCATACTCAGTTAGATGTATCAATGGTAAGTTATATACAGAGATTTATTTATAACACGAATACGATATAGTGATATTGACATCGATTCCTATATGATACATAGATCAGATTACGATCTATTTAAATCCGTTACCGCAAGGTAACCCAATCTCTTCTTAATAACCACAATTTCTCAATTTCACGTCGCAATCTGTAAATATCCATTTTCCTCATAAATCCATTCGCATTCAGTCCTTTGATCTGAACACATCATGTTTTCTAAGCATACTCAACTGGAGTCTAGTGATGAGGTGAGACGTCTAACCCTTATTACTACACGTATTTCTCTAGCCAGCTTTTCACTCTTTTCTGAACAAAAAGTATTATACCTACCTATTTGTTCATGCTTCAAGCATTAGCCTTAGTTTGAATTGAGACTGTCGATTTTATTTTATATTTTCCCAAAATACTAACATCTAACTACGTTAACATCGAATTGGTTTTATTTTGCACGATTTAGTTAGTTTTTGGGCAACTGGAATCTAGTAGATAGTGAGGTGTTGGTATTTTGGCGAAAATATCACCGTTGAAAGCATACAAGTAAAACTTACTTCTATTGATGATAATAGTTTTATGTTATTGTATATTATTAATTACTTAATATGTACAACACTTTAACTTTTTACTTGTACGTTTGTTTTGCGGTAATCTTTTTCCAATAACACAGCTTGAACTAAGCTTTTGCACTGCACTTGTGCCCGAAGCTTTTTTCAAGATGCATGCATTTTAGTTTTTGTGCCTTTAATCATTAGGGTAATATAGAAGAGCCTTCTTCAGAAATAACAAGAGAGAGGATTGAAGATTTACCACAATTCGATGAGCCAGAATTGGATTATACTACGTACGAGCCTGCTTTAGATCCGACCTCAGAGTTTCCGTGGCACCATCCGGACAATCAAGTCGAAACTCAAGATTACGAAGCCTATGAACTAGATAAAAATACATTTCATGACCCATGGGATATGTATAGAGGCAATATTCTCCCCAAAAGTGAGAATTCGAAAGAATACGTCCAACCGGAGACGGCAGATTGTAGTGAAACGAGAAGATATGCATGGGAGAATACACATTATGAACCAATTATAAAAAAACACGTTGATTATAATCCTTATAACACTTTCGACAACAGTGACAATTCATTTTATAATCACAACGATAATATTACACATCAAATTAATGTGGACAACGAAATAAATAATAAATTATTTGAAAATAATTCAATGTACAATTTACCAAATCATAATGCTAGCCAAACCGAATATACTCAATCTTACAAAGAGCCTCATAATGACTTACCGCAACACAACTATGTCGAACATAATTTCCACAATACTAAAAATAACATTGAAGCTGCTACACCATTACAAAACAAAAATAATTACATCTATTGCGTTCATATGGATCACGAAAAGCCTATATACAATAATAAAAATAATGAACACAAAGTGCATGAAAATGGTAGTGAGTTTGTCGAAAGCTATGAAGATATTCGACCAAGGCACCCTTACGATGGATTTTACTTGAGGCACAAGGCGACAATAGATTCCAGAGGAATAAAGTTATGTTCGCACGAAATACCTCCCATTATTCTTCATACTTCCCATTCACCACCTACAGATGGTTTGGATGACTACGAAGATGCAGAAGATCCAATGGAAAATGGTTATTATTACGATGAAGGCGAAGAAGTAAGTTAACTTTACGTGTTTTCTGGTGATATAAGATATTTGATATATACAACGCCGCCTTGTCATAATATGAACCTTGTAACTAATTTAATTACTTACTCTTAACTAAATATTAATTATTTATTTTATTGCACGTTTATCTTTAAATTGCATGTGTCAAGTAGTTAGCCTTACTAAATTAACAGTAAACATTTTATAACGGGATTATATTTTTTATTATAACGCATCGAAATCAATGTGCATTTTTGTGGTTTCAGACTGGTGTAGCTGGCAACTTAGCCCGTGTTCAGCCCGGAGTTTCTCTTCAACGAGAGGCATTAGATGAATTATCCCGACGCCAAGGTTGGGAGTCTGGTAATATAGATTACATGGGCGCTGATTCTTTCGCAAATATCTGGGCAAAAATTTCCCAAACCTTAAATCAAGGAACATCTTCACCGCCAAAAGAACCATCTCCACCAAAAGAATCTCCCCAAGCACCTGTAGAAAAGGCAACCGAAGTACAAGAGGTTGTTGAGAAACTCGCCTCTGCGTCGCTCGACGAATCAAATGATATACCCGTGCCTGCAAAGGAAGCAGCATTCGCCGCAGGTAAACCCATTGACCCGGTTTCCCAGCAAGATGAAAAAACTGAAGTTCCTGAACCTAGACCAGAAACCGTCCCCGAAATAGAATCCAAATCCATTATTACTGAAGTTAAGACTGAAACGCCTGCGGCAACTGAAGTTACTTCAGGAATTGCCGTAGAACAACCCGTTCAAAGTAGTCCTTCTGAAGTTGAAAATGTTTCTGTTTCGATTCCTCAAACAGAAACACCAATAGATGTACCTAAAGCAGATTCTGAATCAATTATTCCTACCGTGTCGCATGAAACAACAGTAGGGGAATCTATACCTTCTCAAGACATAGATCATGATAAGAGTATTAGTTTAAAAGAATCTGAAAATGTGCATGTTCCAGACCCTACAAAACAAACCTCTATTGAACCCTCAGTACCAGAATCCATCCAAGCATCACCAAACACCGAAGTTGAAACTGTACCAACTTTAGATGCTGTGCATGAACCCAAGGAAATGTCGTCAGTTTCTAAATCGGAGTCTGCTGAGTTGGCAACCGATGCTGCAAACGAGTGCATTGAAACATTGCATGAATCTAAGCCCGTGCCAGAAGCATCAGTTGCTTCCACAGAATTAGCATCTACACCCTTGCCACAAGAAATTGAGACTGAGAAAGAATCGTTAAAATCCGAAACTTGTGAAGTGCTAGACGCAAAAGTGGCAGCGGAATCCGATAAACCACAAGCTCCCGTTTCCATTGTTGTCCCTACACCAGACCCAGTACCGCAAATTCCTGAGCCCACCAAGCCGGAATCAGACTCCGTGCCCCAGGTTTCACAACAGGATAAAACTCCAGAGAAAGCGGACGCTCCTGTATCTGATAGTCCTCCTTTAGCCAATACTCCGTCTCAAGAAGAAGTGCCTAGTGTTCCGGCAGCCAAATGTGAGTAGACATAAGCACTGCGCCGATTTCGACTAATCGAACGGCTTTGCACTTCAATCTCACCGAATTAATTTTGCAGTTTTCATATTCTGAACTAATTTATTGGTTTCTATCGTTTCTTGGATGTTCACCGACCGGCGCATCCTTTGAAACGGTGTAAATTACGTTTTACTTTTGTGCCGTTTTGTGTTTTTGGTTTTATGTTATTTTATAGAGCATACGTTTCAAAATTTCGTTATTTCACCCAGCTCTCGAGGAGGCAGCCCAAGAGACGCGGCTTTGATAAAGGTAATACTGACAGCACTTGGACCCGACACAACTATGCAATTCCATCGCATTTCTCATATCTCCTCACACAGCAGCTTAAAACATATACAAGGCTGAATTATGTTTAATGATGCGCCATTAAAAATACTTATAACTACACCCGTCCTTGAATATCGTCACTTTGTATATTGGTATGTATATTTGGCAGACGTTGGGTGGCGTCCAAGTGAATTCATGTAGGTGCGGTCAACGTCATTAGCCTACGAGTCTAATTTTAACAGATTTTTTCAACTTACAAGAATTTTAGCGTCGGAATTTAAGCTACCTAAATTTATTTTTAAAATGTAGAGCACGATGACGTTGGGTTCAAATGTAGCTCCTTCAATGAAGTTAACTTTCTACTTTTTGTTTTTGGTTTTGCTTCCCATTCTTCACTAAGTTTTTACAAGGAAAATGTCAAACCGCATAGACCATATTTGGCAATGAATAGACACGTAAAGATCTTGTAAAAACTGCACCTACCAACTGTTCTTACTAAAAATATGCTTGCATTCGTATTAACCACTTGGCTGTTTTCCCTCGACTTGTTCCAGGCCCTAACCGAGCTTGTTCTCTAATGTGACCGCAATACTAACGACAAGTCTAACTGAAAGAGAGAATAAAGGCGGGAATAAATTGGTTGTGTAGTGGAGGAGCGTCGCAGGCCGGCCAGCAAGTTGCAGTTGAAACCGCCAGCTGCTGCCGATCCGCTGCCAACGCCCGACAGCGAATTCGAAGACGCTGCAACATTAGCGCAATCCATCATCGCTAGCGAATTGCGCACCCCGACCGTCACTTCAGCGTCGCCGACCGGCCTCATATCTCCACAACTTCAATCACAAGAAGGACTTAGCGTCACGAAACCTGACGTGCCGACCCCACCAGTGGACCCAGTTTCACTCTCACAGATCGGCGTTAAACCTAAATCGAAACCCACCACAGCCGCCCAAATTGAATCGTCTCTCGCCGAGAAGACAGAGCCAGAAGCACCCAAGAAGAAAGTGTTGAAGAAGGTGAAAAAAGACGGTGCTTCTAGTGGTGAAGCTCCTGTTCCTCCGCCACGAAAAAAGGAGAAAAAACCTAAAGATAAATAAGTTCTCACGTCACGCTTGAAGTTCCTCTGTGCCATAATGTAGCCTTACTTTTATGTTATTGTTTTTACTGTCGTGTATCGTAATTCGTAACTTTTATACTCGTTTTTTATTACTCGATTTTATAATACAGCCTATATATGATTTTTTTGTTGTAAGACACTAATGATTTTTTAAATGATGCTGCAATATAAAATATTTTAATATAACATTTATAATATAACGTCGATCGCTTTTACACATGGATTAATAAAATTAATATTTAATAACGAAACGATAATTATTTATTTAAGAAAAATACATGAAGACTTTATTAAAAGTGTAATGGAATAAAAAACGTTTTGTTTGTTTTATTTTACCTGAAATAATGATAAAATATTATATTAAAAAAATTTGCGAAGAGCGCCATCATTTGTTTTATTAATTACCTTATAAAACGTCGCGAATCAAGTAACTAAAACTAGATGTCCCTGTAAAAATATTAACTTATCATTATGTTAACCTTAGGAAATAGATGGCGCTATACTAAATATGTAGTAATGACATTACGAAGTGACGTTTATGGCACAGACTATTTACTGGTGTTACAATATAAAAAGCCCGAAATAGCTTAGGCGAATTTAAAAATGAAAATTCCATTACATACAAGAAGGTAAAAATATTGAAACAAGCTAAAAAAATTCACTAACAGTAAACACTGTTCACAGTGTACAATTAATAATGAAATATCAAAATTCTTGATTCATGCTAAAATTGTAGATTTTCGTATAACTATTTTTGGTTTAGTGATTAATTTATTATACATAATATTATACATGTTTGAAAATAAATAAATAAATTTTTAATATTCTTGGTTAGGTGATGGGCAAATTTTGTTTTCCGCACAGCGCAAAGCTTCACAAACGTCAACGCCATACTGAACGTTGTTGAGCCTGTTTGATGATTCTACTTTCCAGTTTCGTTTCGATTCCGGTTCACGTTAGAAGTGTCGGGGCTTTACTTGCCGAACAATTATAATATTATTGTTTACAATCGTAATTCATGTTTATTCCTAGTTGTTAAATATCTCTACAATTGAAGTTAAAGTCTACTTATTATAAACAATGCGTTTCGAGTTGAGTTGTTGATATTTTGGCATTAATAGCATATTTTATTGAAGTGTATCTTGTGTATCGAAATTTGTGAGATCGAAGAACTCTTTTATTGGACAGTGTTTGAAAATGTGAAACAAAATGTGCCGTTGATTTTTTTCGTTCACAAAAGACTGATTTGAGACTAGCTTTTACATATTTTTCATTAAAATGAAGTTACTGGCGTTTCTTTTATTGATGCCAGTGTGCTTAGCACATTTCAATGTGTACCTGAGCAGTGCAGAAGTCTGGAGACTATTAGGTAAGAGAATTTATATCTTTACTCATAGTCACACCTAATTAGCTTTGAAGTTTTAGTACATAAAATGCTGAAGAACAATTGCTTATTTCATTTATTATAACACTATCATGTGTAAAATATAATGTTTGCATTTTTTATTGTAAAAAAACTAAGACAAACAAGATATTAGCAGTATAATATGCTTAGAAAAGTACTAATTTGTTATAAACATTTATGATATTATACAAGACATCTAAAAATGTTATATTTTTCATATGTTATACTTGTTTGTACTATGAAATTCTCAGTACCATGGGTCGGTAGAAGCTTTATAGATAATTCTATCTTACTGTACCTGAATGGGTACTTAAATAGCAAATATCATTTTTTTATGTCAAATCCTAATTAATTGTTTCTCATATTAATAAAGCTAAGCTTTTAAAGTTTCTTTGTAAATAGAATGTTGAGTAAGGTCAATAAAATTGTTATGTGTTAAAGGTTTTTCTACCATTGAAAGATTGCGGTTCCTTATGTTATTAATTTTATTCTTTGTGTTGATATGGATTTGTTCTTTATTTTCATTTATACTTATTGGGACTTGACTAACTTTAAAACTTACTTTTTTTTAAACTAAAATTTTAGGAAGTTAACATAAACACTATTTGGTATAATAAAATTTACATAATATTATTGCCATGCGTTGTTTATCGGCTAGGGATTATGATAAAACTGCTATCAATTGATAAAGACATTTTAGACTTGGATAATAATTTTATCATATTCTACAATAGAGTACTTTAATTTCATTTTCTATGCTACTATTAATATAGGTAGCAAAAGTAGCATAGTCTGCGTCTTCTTCAAATGTTATGATGCATCTATATTTCTTTAAAGATATAAAAATTACTTTTAAACAACTACTGTGTTTAGGTGGTATAACAAGTTATCAGATTTTCGGCTAGACAGAAAAACAGATCTTGGGTGTGCTTGCCAGAGGCACTTGCTTTTAAATCATGTTGTGTATTAAAAGGTGCCAAAAAAAACACATAGAGATATTAATTGTGAAGATGCATTGTTATTCTAATGAATAGGTCACAACTAATTGTCCAGAGGTTTGAGTTTAAGCAAATACCTTAGATGATTCAAATATAATTAAGAACCAAAATTGGGTTCAGCGCTGGGGAATTCACCATCCATCAAGTTAATGCCATGCTTGTCTATTCTTCTCTCTATCATTGAATATTTTTTTTTACAGCAGATCATAATGAGGTGTTATAGAGAGAGAAATAAAAAAACGGTCGTACAATCCCCTATTATGTATATGTACATATTAATAAAATATAAGTAAATGTTAATCTCGTTTCACGCCAATTTTCGATTGAAAAGGTATTACGGATGACGGTTCTTATCTTTGATCTCGGCCGAGTTTCTCGTTTTGTTATTCGAAGGTGACAAAACAAGACTTCTCGAAACATTTCGTGTGGCGAAATACAATAACCATTATGCGGTTTTGCTAATCCACTTTAAACCGTATTGAGTGACGCGTATATTAAACTTAATGATAATTTAAAAGAAATCTGCTAAGGGCGAAGGGTTTTAAACTATGTATATACCTATACTTAACTACGGTTCATCGGAAACTGACAGACAACGAAGTCATAATTGTCGTTTTTACTCTGAATAAAAATAATAATACTGTCTGTAGTTTACGCGAGTAATACACATTTAAATAAAACACTAACGGTTATAACGCGATATATATAAATTACTTAGTGAAACTTATTTTTAACTTCGGCCCGACGTTTCGGATGCTTTGCAGCAGTCACGGGGAGTCTTTGAAGAGTTTAATTAATATATAATATCGCGTTTTAAACCGTTAAAATGTTTAATTTTAAATTAGAAGATTCAAACATTACTTGCTTACAGTAGTTAGGTACTAGGTACTCATGCATAATGGCAAACAAAAAGAAATATTTTTTTAAGGCATCAAATGAAGAAATGAAATTATATATTTTAAATGTCAGAAAATAAAAACTTTTAAATAAAAAAAGAAAGGTTGTAAATAGGTTTGAGTACTAATGTATTTCGTGTTTAAAACCGTTACAAGTGATTTATTTCAATACATACGTAAAGCTAATATTTCTGGGAGCAACGAATATTTTTTCTATTAATGTGGAATAACTATCAAGTGTACTAAAGATTATTTCTTATAAAAGGGATTCGTTAAGTGTAGATTCTTGGAATGGCGTAAAGGACAGGTAACTAGGTTCCATTTTATGTCGCGTACAATGAGTGTACCCCTATCCTTTGTGACAAAGTGAGGGCCCATCCATCTTTGTCACAGTTCTACCCTTTGTTCTTGGTTAAAAATTTAAATTTCTATTGAAGAGAACTATTTCTCGAGCAACACAATTGTCGATTGCTCCACTTCGCTGTTCCTTATTTGTGGCGATACATTTGCCCTGATAGTACAAACGGCCAAAATTAATATTGCCCTTTTATCAACTAACGTCTTCGATTTCGGCCGTCGTAATTCAGAATTTGTTCTCGACGTTTCGCTATCACAAGTACGACATATCATTGAGTTATTAACGCACTTCCACGCTCTAACACGGTCGTACAGCTCAAAAACCAATTGAATTTCTGACCATTTTTAATTTACTTACCAAAATTATATTGACATTATGACATAACGTTTCATCGACCAACCCGAAAAACAATGATATGTATGTATATATATGGCCGTGAAAGCCTTACACAATTTATTAATATGACATTACATATGGTTCTTTTTAAAATCTAATTATTTAATTACAGAGAGAAAATGATTTACATTAATTTTCATTTTTTAAATCTAGATTCTCCCCGCGCCCCCCCCCCCCCCACAGCCCCCGAAACGCCGGCCGGAACTTTTCAATAAGTTACTATTTTGCGAGACCGTTAAAATAATGATACTCGCGTAAACATAACAGTATTTAATTTCTCGTTAATCAACCTTTTTACAAGTGGGTTAAAAATCTGAACGAACGAGAACAAATGTTTTTATTTTCTTTAATTTAATATATCTTAATAAAGGATTATAATTTAAAATCAGTACTATGCTTTATTAGTGAAACGGATGCAAAAATGGGTCAAATTTGACTCTTGTATTTTATTTAAGTATCATGTTAGGTTGTGCCAACGTTGTGAATGATATTTCTCTTCATAATATAGTTATGGTGCGGACTTGACTGGCGATAGGAAATGTTGCCTCCGACTTTGCAATTTCTGACTAGTATCATTGTATCAGGGCGGGTCAGACATAGCCTCGGCGTTGGGAATTGTTTATGGTTAGAGCACTATCGCTGATCTGAATTCTTGGTTTTAGAGCAGTTGTTTGTTTCGGTGGCGCCGGTGGTTTTTCTAAATAATGGCGATTGTTTTAACATATTTAAAAAAGAGACCAGGCCTGATAAGGGAAAGAGAAATAAAATTTATTTGAAGAACTATTTGTGAAGCGCAAAAATGACTTTTTGTACAGTTTAATATTCTGTGTTAAGGGGGGAGGGAAAGAAAAGGTAGGATTTTTCATGTTCAAAATTGTGTACTGAAATGTAACGCTTCTGTTACCATAGGCAGGAATAGAACCAACAACATAAACTAATAACGAAATTACCTTAGCCAGAAAAAGTATTTTGAAATTCCATGATTGTCTTATCATAGAGAAAGACTACCTTGGCTTGTGAAGAATAAGATGTGTATGACATCTAAATAAGATCCCTTGTAGACCTATTTTGACTCTGGACAGTCAGAAAATGATCAAATCGAATCAAAATTACTTTGCAGCCTTGCTGTGGCGTTCCATCGTGACTCGGACGGAATTTCGATATACATATATACCAAACACGTATTTTATATCCAGATGTTCTAGGCGAAATGTATGGTACAGAAAAATATAAATTGATTTGACAAATATAGTACATGGGAATTGATGCCAAGACATGATTAACTAACTATGCATATTATTGGAACAATGAGGTTGTTATATTAAGTGTATATATTGAGATAATCATAACAGGCATTGTTCATGGACTTATTAATTATAATCATAATATACTTACGGCCACACCATATCGAGCTTCTATTTTAAAACAAACGTATTGTATAACTTATAAGTACTAACGATAATGTTTACAGCATTCCTAGAACCGATGTTGTACCGAATAACACAACGAAATATTTTGCTATCGAATTTCCTCCCGCTTCTGTAACTAAACGGTAATTCCGTTCCATCAGAGCCGCATCGATTTGGGGAAAATTGATTTTTTGGTGATACTCCGCGGCTGTCGGTAAGCGGATACTCTTAAAGAGGTTTCGATTACTTGAAAGGTAAAAAATTATAAAAAATCGAAGGTCGTAATGCAATATACTGTATGTTGGATAAGGTTTCGTCTAGACACGGTAACCTCTTTACACGACATCTGGGTAATATGGAAATTATTTAAAAATATATTAAGTAAATGAATTGCTTCTTGCTAGTTAGTGAGGTTTTTCGTTAAATTCTTACTTGAGAACAAATATTTTTTTAAATGAAATATATATCAGTCACGGGACATAAGGGTTTCTATATAAAACGTGTTAAATAAAATTTTGGTAGAAGCCTTGTCTGTAGGTAGCAACGAATACCTCACAAATCAACGGGTCTTGCGTTACATTCCTTCCGCTTCTAATACATTAAAAAAAAATCAATTTCTATTATAGCTTACAAAATATTATAAAACATTGTTAGTTTTAGGCTAGAAAAGCTGGATATTAAATGGCTGGCTGGAATATCTGAATTCACAAGTGCAAGTCACGACACTACTGTCGGCAAAAAGCCGTGTATTGCATTCGTGTTTCGCTTCCAGTGTATGGATTTCAGAATACCCAAAGCTAAAAAAGGTGCCTGTCTTTTACACTAGTACTATTTCTTCCTCTGTCAAAATATAGGAGAAATAATTCTTATAATTAAAATCTCGTCGTTTTGCCTTAAAATGTATATA